GCTGCCCGCCGGCGGGGTGGTGCCCCCCGCCCCTGCGCGGGCCTGGGCGAGCTCGGGGCAGGCTATGCTAGCGGCGCGGACGGCCCCCTCGTCCGCCACTTCGCCCCGGCCATGTGGTGCCTGCACTGCAACTCGGAGAGGACTCAGTCCCTGCTGGAGCTGGAGCTTGACAGCTGGTAAGACATGGGGCGCTGCTCGGGGCAGAGGCGGGCTCCGGAGCATCACTGCCCGGGGCTGCGCTCCCCGAGCCGCCTACTCCCGCGCCTCGCGGGCTTTTGTCTCGGTAACTCCCCGCCTCTTTCCAAGGAGCTTTCCCTGCGGCAAACAAAAGGCGTGTTCTGCTGCCGTTGCCGCCGGGCGCGGCTGTGCCGGTGTCTGTGGATGTTACCAGAGGCCCCCTCCCCTGTAAAGACAAACTTCCGACCTCGAGCACTTGCTGGAGCCTGCCGGGCAGGGAGGCTTGCCCTGCTCCAGCCACGCGTGTACAGTAGTCACCTCTGCTCGCAGCCAGAGCCGGGGCAGGTCGCGGCTGAGCTCTTCTCAAGTTTGAACCGACTGCCAGCGCCTGACACTTGCTACCAACTATAGCTTTGTTTGTAGCCGCCCCAGCATTGCTCGGATCCTTCCCCGGGGCTTGGACTTGGTTCTAGAAGAAGAAAAAATAAAACCCCTGTAATTGCAATGCAGTCTGTCTCTTCGCAGACGCACGCCCAAATGAATAGCGCAGCCCTTAAATGTGGGATCCAAAGTTGTTGGCTTTCAACTGCAGTGTTGTTTGCTAGTGACAAATGAGGCATAAAACCACCAGAAGCCCCTTGTAAAGGGGTGCTGAAAGCAGGATACCATTTGTCCCAGGTATGTGCATTGTTACAGCAGTTTTACACACACGTGTACACATGCTTTCTCACGCTCACACACGCACCCCTCCCACCCCCCTGTGTTCTATTCAGTTTACTGTATGCTCCAAGAGGCATGTGACTTGTATCCAGTGAACCAGAGCTGTACTTCAAAGCCATTTTTATGTACTGTTCTTTGTGTCAAGAAATCCTCCAGGGGAACCAACCCAAGTTAATGTTGTTATTGTCAATACATTTAATGTAAATGTGCTGAAGTTAATCATGTTTCCTAGAAAAAAAAGTGATCCATGACTTGCAACCTTAGGGGAAAAAAATCAGTTGCTGTTCAAAGGCTTTGATATTACATACACTGTCAAGCAACTAATTTAGGAGAAACAATACTGCCAAAATTTGTCATTTTAATATATACATAGAAATCTTTGCCTTACTGATAACCATATCATGTTTAATAGTTTAAACATTAATTGAGGTTGCCACTCGTGGAGTGCAGATATCTGTAGTTTTAACCACTGACTGTAATCGTAGTCAGTTGTACAAACTATTATACCAAGCAGTCATTTTGCTCTTAGGTATGGTTGAGAGACAAGATAATAGGTGCTTTCTCATATGTAGAAGGCACGGTTTAAAATACATCCACTGTAAAAGTTGTAATCAAAATGCTTTTTGAATTAATTTGAAATAGTGATTGATGTTTTAAAAGCTTAATTATGCCAAAACATGCAATATATGAAAATGGCACATTAAAAATACAAGAGGGGCTATGTATGGTTACAATGTGTAGATGTTTTCAGTAAAAGAGAAGTGGCTTCCTGAGTGAGGGGGAAGGGTTTTAAATATAAATTACTACAGTACTTAAGCACAAATATTATGAACCTGAAGCCTGTTGTCCCTCCACAGAAATTAATTTGAGTTGGAAAGGTTCTTACATGACCATTTGAAAAAATGTTCACGTTGCTTTGAAAATTATGGACTTTATGGATGGAAATGTGGCACTTTGCCACAATTGTACACACTTAGTAATAAATGACATTACAATTACATAATGCGTAATGTGTTGCATTAATGGTAGACTGCCTACGTTTTGCCACTGGGTCATTGTTGCAGTCCTGTTGTCCATGTGCACATTGTCATGCTCTTCCTTTCAGGAAAGCTTGATTACTGCCTGATATAAGTAGTAGTGCAAAGCAGTTAGTTTACAACAGATGCGTTTAATTGTATATACCTATGCTTATAGGGTAATACTGCTTGTAACAACATATTGTATATTGCTCATTAGAAAAATTGGCTGTTTGACTTTTCACTTCCCAGGCCTGTTTTTGTGGCTGCTGTCTCCCTTTCTAATCCTTGAAATTGCTGATGTTCATGATACTGTCATACAGTCGCCAGCAGTTTTCATTCTCTTTATTAAATAGGTGGCTTATTCAATCCTGAAATTGTGCCTGTGAAGTAGGCTACAGTCCATTTTTTGATCATCTTTGTGCCATTGTTTATAAGGTTAAAGCATTTTACTTCTCACCAGATACCCAAAGTCTGAATTCTAGTAAGGCAGTAATACTAGCTGATGAAATGCTGAGGTTGTATTTACCTGCAGCAATGACTTTATGTTTTCCGAGTCTGTCTCAGAATGCTTATTTAGTTAATAAATAAAACTAAGAGCTGGACAATTTTATGAAATCATCTGCACATTTCAGGTGGGGAACCTGAAAAGATAAGTGCAGTTCTTGCCCAAGAACTGCAAGTATCCACCAAACTCTAGTTTTCTCTGTTAGCAAATGTAGCAGTCTAGATTTGAAATTGTTGGTTAGTGAGTTGCACTGGGTAGGCATCTCCATCAGTCCTTTTTTGCTGGAAAATATTCACATTCAATTAAACTTGGCAGTTTGTTCTGCAACCTGCTTTGCAAATTCCAAGGGTGCGGGACAGCTGCACCTTACTTGATTTCTTAAGCCTCTATGACAGATGCAGCTTCTACAAAGTGAAAACTTTACTTGAAAAGAAATTAAATCCTATCCATTGTAGGTTCAGAAGAAAACAAGTGCCTATAACCTCAAAGGTATTTAAATGCCTAAGATTCAACTGACTTAGACAGGCTGAAACAACAACTTAAAAATGTGGGCTCCTTCATTCATCTTGGTGGTGTCAGTTCTGAAGTATAAAGATGACACTTCAAAGATCAGATTTTCAAATGAGAGAGACTGCATGGTTTATAGCTATTTTTTTCCTCATAATTATTGTGGCTGGGCTTGCAGATTCTCTAAATATATGTGACCAGGAGACAAAATATAGAAATAGTTTTGATTCTAAAAGTAGACCTAGAAGTAGCCACTCAGACTTGCACAGAGAGCCAAGAGTAACTAGAAGCTTAGACCAACATTTTATTGGCCTCAGATTTAAATTGCCTCAGATACCCCAGCTGAAGGTAACGTGGACATCACAAAGTGCTTACCCCCTGAAGTTCTCATTGACTTCATTTAAAGTTATTGGTGTTCATCACCTCTGAAACTGAGGCTCAAGATGTCTTAAACTGAGCATCTGGGAACAGAAGTGCTAATTGTCAGAGAACGCTTGAAATATATGGCCTCATTTATGACATTTCTGTTCTACCTCTGTAAAGCTTCAGTTGTCATCAAGGGCAATGTATGGCCATAGCCATGTAGTTTTAGCTC